TGTCAGATTTTGATGAAACAAAACCAAGAGATTGAAGTTTCATGCTCAACCGTGAGTACCAGGCCCGAGGTGCTTGTTTCAATCCATACAGTGCTTTATCAAGCTTGCAAACATGAAAAGGTGCATTTTTGTCTTCAAACCCAGGAGGTTGTTTCATGAACGCTTCCTCTTCCAGAACACCATGAAGGAACGCGTTCTGTACGTCTAGCTGTCTGAGACTCCATCTCCTGGACACGGCTATTGACAGCACAAGGCGTATCGTTGCAGCTTTAACAACAAGACTAAATGTATCTTCATAATCTATGCCATATCTTTGCTTGAAACCCTTTGCTACAAGTCTTGCCTTGTACCGATCTACAGTGCCATCAGATTTTTTTCTTGATTCGATAGACCTACTTGCAATCAATTAAGTTTCTGCCTTGCTGAGGAGGAACCAAATGCCACGTCTTATTTTTCTTCAATGCCATGATTTCTTCATCCATGGCCAATTTCCACCTAGGATCACCAAGTGCTGTTATCAAATTGTTAGGTTCACCAATTGTACAGGACATACCAAACTTAGAGAAATTTTTCTAATTTAAACGAGCTGTTACTACCTTTTGAAGTCTTGTACGCGGAGCCACAGGAGAAACTCCAGCGTGTGCAGGCGTAGAAGATCCCTCGGATGCATCAGCTTCAGGTGTTGTCGCCTCTAATCCCGAGGCAGATTGTGTCGCGCCTGCTGGAGACAACTGCGGTGTGGGCGACCGGGCCGGACTGGTGGGGCCTAGCGAATCTGGCGCGGGCCAATCCGGTAAGCCAGGCGCAACCGCCCGCCAAGCTGCATCTGGAGATTGGAGCGGGCCCGAGCCGTCGTTGTCACGTGCGGTAGTGCCCTCCAGGCCCAAGGCGGGGCCAGGTGCTATACGCCCAAGTCCCGGGGCGGATTCTGGCCCCTGCTGCGATGGAGATCCCGAGGTGGATACGCCTCGGTTTGCGCCTGTGTCTCTAGCCGGGGGGCACATAAAATGAAGGCTGTTTTCTTTGTGATTTGCACCATCTGAACAATCTGCAGTAGTAATCTCAGGCATAATATGATGATTAGGTACAAGTTGATCAGTACTATTATTTACTCCCCCATGATCAACGCCGGATAAGGATGAGGGCAGAAGAAGTATTTCTTTGCGAAGAAGGGCACCGGCATTTGGGTGGAGTTTGGCAAAAGGAAAAACGGTTTCATCAAAGACGACATCCCTAAAGATATACACACGTCCAGTAGAAACATCAAGACATTTGACACCCTTGTGTTGTGCACTATAACCAAGGAAGACACATTGGGTTGATCTAAACATGATTTTACGATTGTTGTAAGGGCGTAGATTTGGCCAACAAGCACAACCAAACACACGGAGTGACGAGTAATCTGGTTTGGTGTGAAGAAGACGTTCAGTGGGTGTTTCATGATTGATGACACGGCTAGGCAGAATATTGATGAGATGGACGGCTGTGAGAAAGGCCTCATCCCAATACTTGAGTGGCATGGATGCGGCAGCAAGGAGGGAGAGACCTATGTCAACAATGTGCATATGCTTACGTTCAACGGAACCGTTCTGTTGATGAGCATGGGGGCAAGAAACGTGATGAGAAATTCCTATCCGTTGAAAGAAGGAGTTGAGTTTCTCATACTCACCACCCAGTCCGATTGCATAGCAAGTATTTTGCAATAAAATTTCCTTTCTACTAAAGCCTGAAAGTTAAGAAAAACTTGGAAAACATCGGAACGTTTCTTAAGAAGATATATCCACGTGTACTTGCTGAAATCATCAATGAAGCTCACATAATAGGTGTGCCTACCAACAGAGGAGGGAGTCGGTCCCCATACATCCGAAAAAATAAGTTGCAAGGGTTTTGTAGACACACTAGTGGAAATTGGGTATGGTAATTGGTGGCTTTTTGCTCTTTGACAAGAATCACAAATAGTTTCACGATCATGCTCATCAACAAAAGTGAGCTTATTTTTGCTAAGAATTTGATAGACAACAGAGAAAGACGGGTGGCCTAAACGATTGTGCCATCGTTCTGAAGACACCTTGAATGCTCCATAGGCTTGCTTATTTGACTTGGAAAACTTGGGAATCAACGGGTAGAGACCTTCCACACATCTACCGCGATAGAGGACCCTCCTCGTGACCTGATCCTTTATCAAGAAGAAAAAAGGGTGAAACTCTATGAAGACACCATTATCAAGAGTAATACGATGAATCGAAAGGAGATTTTTTTTATGCATTGGGAATGTGTAGGACTTCATCTACAAGAATATCACGATGTGGGGTTTTAATAATAGACTTGCCAACATGACTTATCATCATACCTGGACCATTTTCTGCAGTGTGGACTTGCTCTTGGCCATGGTATTTCTCATGCATGGTCATTTTCTCTAGCTCGGAGGTGATGTTCTCATTTGCACCGGAGTCAAGATACCAGTTGGAATCTGCTCCATATGAGGCATCTGCTGCAGCTGCAACTCGTCTCCTCTGAGAGTTGTCGTCTGCATAGCGCCACTTACACTCCTTTGCAATGTGGTTAGTTTTTTTTGCAAATCTGACACTTGTTTTCATATTCTTCATACCCGGTTAAACGGCCGCCTTGACGACCTTGATTGTTGTTGTAGTTATGGCGTGGGGGCCCATTGTTGTTGTAGTAGCCCCCGCCACCGCCGCCATTGTAGCCGCCATTGTAGCCACCACCAGAGCCGCGGTAGCCACCGCCGCCGCCCTGGTTGTAGCCGCCATCACCACCTCCGCTGCTGTTGCCGCGGTAGCCGCCGCCACCGTTGTTGTAGTTGCTGTTGCCGCTGCCGCTTCCACCCTTGGGTGAGTTACGGTAGCCGTCCTTGGGAGCGCCGCCGCGTCCCCGTGAGGCACTGTTGGCCGAGGACTTGAAAGCCCCGGCGCCTGTGCCCTGGAAAAGCTCCATGCGCTGATCAAAGTTCGCCACCATGCCGAAGAGATCATCAACAGATAGTGGTTCGGTGCGGACATCTAGGGCTGAGTTAAGTGGTTGATAATCCATGTCAAGGCCAGCAACTATGAAGGAGATTAGTTCTTCCTCTAGGAGGGGTTTTCCTGCCATAGCAAGTTCATCTGACAGGGATCTCATGTGACCGAAGAAGGCAGCAGCAGATTGGGATCCCTTCTGGGCGTTGGTGAGGGCGGTGCAGCAGATGTTTATTTTCGATCTGGATTGGGCTGCAAACATGTTTGCGAGAGCGGACCAGATGGCTTGTGAGGTTTCCAGAGAGGCAACTTGCACTAGGACTTCCTTAGAAAGATTCCTGAGCAGATAGGCTACTAGTTGCTGATCTTGGATTAACCAAGCAGCATAGGCTGGGTTGGGAACGACCTGGTCCTTCCCTTCGGAGTTTTTTTGAGGTGATTTTGGATGATGGTTCAGGGATGGTTCCATCAAGGTAACCAAAGAGACCTGCCCCAATGATTTGGGATCGGGCTTGGGCACGGCAAAGCACATAGTTGGTGCGGGTTAAGGGTTCAGAGATGGTGTTGTTGAGGCCGGCTGAGGGAGTTTGGCTTGGGGAAGCCATGGCGGGTAGGAGAGGAACGATGGAGGCTAGACGAGGTGGGAGAGGAGGCTCTGTATACCATGAAAGGTTTCGTAAAGTGTCTCAACTCCCGTAACATGGGAACCCGCATGTATTTATATTGATATTGGTGAGGCCAGCTCTCGCAGAGGCATACATCGATAGATAGATTACATCGTTGGTTGAAACAACCGAAGAGATAAGAGGAGGATTACATTAAAAGATAAACAAGTACTAACAAACTAGATCCTCCTAACTACTCTACGTGATGCCCAAGTCATATGTAATGTGACATGTTTAACAAGTTGTAGTGTTACGAGGCCGCCATAGGCATGGGGGCAGTAGTAGATGCAGCAACATTGACCGCCGATGATGAAAAAGCAAGAGCCGATGGATCCGCGGGTGTGCGAGACAAGCAAGTGGTATCCGTTTGCTGCCCCGGCGTCGATGCTAGCGGAAGCATTGTCCCCGAGGAGCTTGCTGTTGGAGATGACAGATTTACCCATGAACGACATGATGATCGATGAATTTGCTGTCAAAGCGCTTCTGCCCACCGGCCGTATCGTGATACAAAGAAGCCCAGGATATTTATTGCGTCCGAGCCCGAATTCAGTCCGCTGCAATTCAATTATTTGGTAACGAATTTACCCATATATTCAATTATTCGCTGGAGATTCAAGGAATACAACCGCATCTTAGCCTAGCCTCTCTCTCTCTCTCTCTCTCTCTCTCTCTCTCTCTCTGCAAATATGTCATCGCACCGTCGCCATAGTCGTCGAAGCATATGCCTCGTAGCATCACTGCGGCCGTCGAAGCATGCTATACGCACCACCGAGATGGGGGCTAGGCAAGGAGAAACTTATTCCACAGTGTTGCCACCGCCCGTCTTCCTAGGCACGACACAAATCGTAACAGAACTCAAAGAAACATCTTAAAATGAAGCCCTCCCACTCGTAAGGGCCTTGATCCATTGTGTTCCATGTTCCTAAGGCCACGAGAGGCAAAGGAACATTAATCTCCTTTTTGCGGGGAGGAGGAATATTGAACAATTTTTAATACGCAATGAACTTTATTAATTAAATGATGAAGATCTTTTAATATACGGAGAAATTTTCTTAATATACATTGAATATTGTTTGATAAAAGACATACTGGACAATCTCGAAAATATATTTTTTCTATTTTTCATAGGCTCTTAAATATATAGCTCCTAAAATACGACAATGGGCCTGTTGTTGAAAAACCTACTAAGACACAATGTGAAACAAAAACAGCTCATGGGCAGAGTGGGCCGGCAAATTTGTGCTGGCTTCAGCAAACCTGTTCTGGGCGGCAAAAAAGAGCTCTTGATTTTCCTGGTATGTATCGGTGTGAGCATGTTAAGGATCGTAATACTTTCTAACAATCGATGTATTAAGATGAGCTACTGAATTAGGCTAGGCGAGGGAAGCATGTTAAGGATAATTTCCTTCGTAATACGGGGGCAGCTCCTCTGCAGATGATCAAACTCTTCGGTCTCCACAAAAGCCCTTAGGTTCGCCGGACAGTCGACGAAATGGTAGCACGCCTTCTTCAGCCCATCGCAGCTGTGTTGGTCGGCGAGCGACAGGATGGTTGCTACCGAGCTAATGTCGATGTAGTCGCATAGCTTGTCCTCACACATTGCCCTGAGCCGCCTGAGGTCATACCGATCCGCCGCGACAAGCAGGTGTTGTAGAAGAACGCCCTCGTTCTCATCCACGGGAGGAGCTGGCAGCGAGTCTCCATAGATGAACCTTAGCATCATGCTGAATACCTCAGCGTGCATGTCGTTGATCTGCAGGATTGTGTTCGTCGACGCCGTGCCTTCTTTCATTGGGCCGAAGAGCTGCGCCCTGAAGAAGGCAGAGCGGGCCGCGAGAACGCACTTGTGGGCGGTGAACGTCTCGCCACCCACCCGGAAGACGACGTCCGTGCCGTCGCCGGACAGGAGAAGATCCATAAAGTTCTGCTGCATGTCGGACGGTGGCACCGCGATGAAGGAAGAAATCCTTGTTGTCGCGCCCTGCGCAAGGACCATGACGTCGCATCGAATGGTGAATCTGTCGTCTCTGATGAATTTCTCCCAGGTCTCCTTTTTGAGGACCTTTGTATGGTGGCTGAACCGGCCTCGGAACTCGAATATCTCACTACCATCATGGATACGTGCCCGCTCTTGCTCGTCGTTCTCTTCAACGAAACTGAACTCGAAATGTGCCTTCACGAGGTCTATAGTGCCGATGATGAGGCAAAGTTGTAGTGTTACCAGGCTGCCGTCGACGTGGGGGTCATAGTAGATGCGCCAGTGTTGGCCGCCGATGATGAAAGGAAGAGACCAGAAGAATTTGTTGGTGCGCGAGTGGCCGTCAACGACAAGCAAGTGGTACCCTCTGTCTGCGCCCGCGTTGATGATGGGGGAGGCCGCGCTGAGGAGCTTGCCGCCGGAGTAGACAGATTCACCCGTGAACGTCATCATGATCGACGAAACAGCTCTAAAGTACTTGTACCTGCAGAAATCGTGGTACGCAGATTAGGGCCAAGTCTGTCAGGTACGTACGCTATATATACAAGGCAACGCCACATGATGGAGGAACGAATAAGAGACCTAAACTCAATCTGGTGCAAGATCGAATCGGATACGGTCTGTTTAAAATCTGGCCGTGCCAGCATATATCTCTGAGAAAATTCCTTATCCCGAGTATGCTGAGGCCCCGGGTTTATACCATATAAACATGGATTTGCTGGAGATTGGTAAAGGAAACATCTCTTTCTCTTTTTTAGCGGGCAGGTAAAGAATAGAACATCTCATCTTTACCTAGTTAAAATTTCTCATAGTTTAGTTTTTGCCTTCGGCACAACAGACATCAACCCGTCTTTCCTTTTCTTTTTACCATCTCTCTGTCCTCTATCTATATTTTTGGCCCTGAGTAATGATATTTTATTGTTAATAACATATCATTTTATTATGAAGAGGACGTACGTCAACTTTATTATTTAGAGGATGTCAACTTTATTATTACGAGGATGGCATTTTTAATTACAAAGAGGTTGATATTTTTATTATTGAGAGGATGAAATTTTTATTAATGATAGGATGTCATTGCTATTATTAAGAGAATGGCATTTTATTCTTTATGACCATGACAATTGCTCTGTGTGATTTTTCTGCGTAGGGTTTCCTTTTGTCTCGAAGTTTTTTTCTCCCATGGGCCGCTGCACACAGGGAAAAAGAATCCGGACGAGCCTTCGCGCGACTTCTCTCCAGAAAGAATCCGGAAAGAGAATTTTCACGCGGGCGCACGAGTTTCTTTGGCGCGATAGTGGGTTTCGCTGCCGCTGGAGGACTGGTCTGACCATTTTCTTGTGTGCTAGCCTCATGGGACAATTCATTTTTCTGTGAGGTATATACTAACCTATAGTAAAATGTGATATTTTCCTCGGTGCTTAAGTAAACCCGCCTGGAAAATTCATTATCCTGTGAGATGCTTCGGGCCCCACAGGAAAAATGATCACTGTGAGGAAAACTTCAGTTTCTGGTAGTGGTATCACTTGCCCTTTCCCTGCAGGATGAAGAGGAGCCCGCTGCAGTAGAGCCCGTGAAGGCGCTGGTCAAGTTCAGTTTTGTTGACGACACCGACAAGCAAATGCCGACATGTATTCCTGCTGGCAAAATATTCGAATTCCTAGGTAACTCCGCGAGAAGGGAGGGCATGGACATATCCAAGTACCTCAAGGACGACAGCTTCACCTTCCGGTGTGACATAATGATCCTAAGTCACACATGCAACACCTGTGCCTTCATCATGGTGCCACCATGTGACATGCAACTGAACTTCAACGACCTTCTCCTGTCTGGGAACGGCTCTGACGTGGCATTCCAGGTCGGCGGCGAGAAGTTCGCCGCCCACCGGTGCATCCTCGCTGCCCGATCAGTTGTGTTCACAGCGGCGCTCTTTGGCGCCATGAAGGAAGGCACATCGATGGTGGTACAGGTAGATGACATGGACGCGGCCCTCTTCAAGGTGATGCTAGGGTTCATCTATGTCGGCTCGCTGCCTACACCGGGCACCGAAGAGAATGAAGGCATCCTTCTGCAGCACCTGCTCGTTGCAGCGGACATGTATGACCTCCCAAGATTCAGGGCAATGTGCGATAAGAAGCTGTCTGAGCACGGCAACGACCATCCTGACGCACGCCGAGTAGCACGGGTGCGATGGGCTGAAGAAGGCGTGCTGCGAGTCCTCCGGTGTCCGGACAACCTGAGGGCGGTGGTGTCCACTGATGGCTTCGATCATTTGTGCAGGAGCTGCCCCACTCTTATGAAGGACATGATCATTGGACTGCTGCCGGCTAACTAGGACTTCATCATCATATTGATGTATAGCTCTTGTGTTCACGTCAATTTCTCACATCCCTTGCTTACTGTATTTGTCATTGCAGAAGGAAAGGGGAATGAAGGCTCTTCGACTTTGATCTAGGAAGACTCTTGGAGGCAGCAACCGAGGTGTTTAACAGGTCGAGGGGTGGGTGCCATTTCTCACACTGGTTCAGTGATGGATGGCGTTTTCTAGCTTTGGACGAATTGCTATCTAAGTAGGATTGGGGCTGCGAAAAGTTCGTCACAAGAGAGTTCATGAACTACAACCTCATCAAGGGCAGCTTAACCTTCCGGTGCGACCTCTGGGTGGCCTCGGATGATGTGATCAAAACCACCACTTCGAAGGGATGAAGAAGGTGTGCAATGGTTTGCTGCGTCGTCCTTTCCTTGCCAAGCTGCCATCTAAGTAGTAGCTCATGCGAATTCAGTGGATCTTAATCTATATATTTCGTTAATCTTCTAGTAGGATTACTATTTACTGTATGTCCTTGTTTACCGGATGCTTCATCGTATCTGTGTCGGGCATGCAAATCCGCTGGTCAATTGCTATATATTCAGAAATGCTTCTACTCCTATCGAGTTTGTTGCCATGCAGCTATATTGATCTAGTAATCTGCAATAAAAATGTTTGAAACTTAGCAATTGTCGATGCAAAAAAAAGAGAAAGTACTATGTATCTGAAACATAGCAGCCGTGTTAAACTGACTTGTCTGTAGCTCTTCCCGCCCAAAAAAATGACTTGTCTGTAGGTTTATTTTTAAAATAATCATACAGAAAAAGAATAATAATCTAGGTTGTGCTGAAGCAAAACAAAATATGGGAATATTGTGGAAGAAGTCCCAGTTGAAGACCATAGTCAGTGCCAACGTGCACATTGAAATAGTGCATGGTTGGCGAAAGCCTTTTTCGTTGAAGGGGTATATATATTGGTATCCAAGCACCTAGGATAACCAACACAAGCTAACCTAACCGGCTACAAAGTCCTAATCCTAGTACCATCGGGTAATTGTTTGTGTACCAACCGGACACAATGTACCAAGTCGTGGTTATCAAGTTTCCCCCAAAATGCTAGATTTACGTAGGACCTACGGGTTGTTACGTAACTTGCCTGAAGAAATCTCTTAGCCCCCCTGATTTCATCCGTGCGTGTAGTAAAATGCCCTGGAAGCATACTAGTTATCTAAGGATATATAACTGATGCGCCATTTCATCCAAAAAACCGATTCGATCAACCTGCATTGTGTGGGTATTGTAAAATGCAATCATGCATATGTAAGGATAGATGATACCAAAATATAGAAGAGCTAATCATGAGCCAAGGAATTAATCACAAAATTGCCTAACATTCCAACTATAAATTTTTTAAGATGGGCTACTGAATTAGGCTAGACGAGGGAAGCATGCTAACGAGAATTTGCTGAGTTAGACTCAATGTTACTGCTGAAGTTAGGCCCCTCCCAATGCTCCACCTTGTACATGTGCTAAGTCTGTCGTGTAGGCAAAAAAATCTGATGTGGCAGGACAATTAAGAGAAGAGATATGGGTTTGGTGACCCCAGGAAGAACCAATGCCAAGCACGCAAACCTAGGCCAAACCTTAGCTCCGTCGGGCCGCGACCCCTCCTACCCCCCTCCCCTCCGCCGCCGTCGGCGAGCTCTGTCGGGCAAAGCCCGGTGGGCGCGGCAGCTATGCCCTTCTCCCCCTGTGCTCGTGGGACGCTGGCACGGGGCGGCCTCCTCGAGCGGTGGCGCTGGACATCGCGTGGTTCAGCAGCTCGCGGGGCGGCCGGCTGGTGGCGGCGCGCAGACGCCCTGGATCTGGCGCGCGGCGGGGAGGCTGCGGCGCTCTCGTCTCGAGAGGTGGCGCGCAGTCGGCCTCCTGCTGTATCCGGCTGGATCGGGCGGTGGGGGTCGGTCGGCGGCGCATGGCATCGGTGGTGCATGCCCAGCAGCTCCGACGGTAGGAGCTCGCTGGGCGACGCGGGTAGGGCAGCGGCCGGGGGTGGATGTTGCTCCGGCCGTGGGCGGCGAATTGTGGAGGTCCGGCGATGGTGGACTCCCGGTGTCTTGGCAACTTCATGGTGGCTTGGCGGATCTGCCTGCGGCGGCGACCGTCTTCTCCGTTGTCGACTTGTCTGTGATCTACCGTTTCGGCCTTCACCCATCTCCTCGGCTCCCGGTCGCAACTCCCTTCGAAGGGCTGGCCCTTTCCTAGCTGCGGTCCATCGCTCCTCCCGCGCCCAGTGCAGCAGGACCGAGCTCGTCCCGCGCACAGTTCCGCAGGACCGAGCTCGTCTCGCGCATGGTGCAGCAGGACTGACCTCATCCCCCCCCCCCCACGGTGCTGCAGGACCGAACTCGTCTAACGCTCCGGGCTGCAGGATGGGTCGATGGATGCCAGTGCTGGCCGACCTATTGGTTCTCGACACTGGGAGTGGACCAGGGGTGCAAAGGCGGGTCCTCTTCCGCTCGTCTCTTTGGTTGGGGTACCGGCGGGTCTCGGGTGCGGTGGTGTCAAGGTCTTGGATGCCGGGGCGGCGGCCCTGGTGGCGGTAGCACGGTGCTCTTGGGCAGAGCCCGTGTCTTCGCGCTACTCGGTGACCATGGCCGTGTGGGCGGCGTGGTAGCCGGGGTGTAGCGTTCAGTGGCGGTGAGTGTTGGCCGGGGTGAAACCTGCTCTATCTTCGGACGGACCGGTGACGGCGAAGCTCGTTCCCGTCTTAAAGGCGTCGTCGCGGCTCTCACCACCCGTCGTGCGGCTCCAGGGGAAACTCTGATCCTCGGATCTGGCGGTGGCGGCGCTCCGGTGTCGTATCCTTCCTAAAGGCGCCGCTTTGGAGTCCATGGTTCGTTGTATGCAACTTCATCTCTTCGTGGTAGTGTGCTAGGGGTGGTGTTGCTGAGCTCAGCGCTTTTGTATCCTACCTTGGGTGTGTGGTGTTGGCGTGCATTTTTTCTGGATGATGTTGGTCTTTGCTTTATATATAAAGCGGGGCAAAAGCCTTTTTCGGTAAAGAGTTTAGTAGCTAAGTCATTAAATGAAGGGAGCTTAGCAACAACAACTTAAACACCAATGCATTGGGGACTATACTTGCT